TATTTGAAAACATTTTAAAATGGCTGGTGTCTTTTTGACGGATTTAAGAGGCTTGTTTTTGCATAAAGCCGTGCTTAGTGTAGCCTTCAGCTTGATTTATGATGTTTGTTGAAATATTTTTCAATGCAGAATATCTGTCAGAGGAAACACAAAGGCTCGTCTGTTCACTTTACACAGACAAAGTGATGGGGGTTCTATATTTGTTAACATAATGTGTATTTTATATGAAAGTATGGTCTAATTCATAAGTAAACACATGCCATTTCAATGTGCACTGTTTAGACTTTACATTCAATGAGGACAAATTATTCATTTCAGTTTTGCTGCTGTGATTTCATCATGCCCGCCTGGCAACAGTGATCAACAGTGAACATGTTTCACGTGACAGTGTTTTCATATGCATCCCTTTCTAGTCATGCCAAGGTCAGATCTATTACAGGACTTTATTTCATATACAGTATTAGTATTCATGATTTGATGGACGTGAGCTGACAGAGATTAGCAACTAGAAACGTTGCTATTACCTGTTATGGCTGCTTTGAGCTGTAACATTTTTTTTTTGCTATATATTTGTAGTTTTTGAGCTAACATTAGCTTATGATATTCAAAGTATTTTGTACTCTTAAGCAAACACCAATGCCTATATATATTTTATGTGTTATATTTTCAGTTTATTTATAATAAACCTGCCCAATGCATTGTATAAAAGTACAATTTTGTTATGCTTTTATTACTACGCTGTTTAAATTGTATTAGGGACTTTAAGTCATGTTTTTATTCCAAACAAGGAATAAAAATTTGTCTATTTGGTTCCAAGAACTTAACCTATAGGGGTCATCTAACCTTGTAACACTACACATCATGACCAAAGACAGTTTAAATGACATGTAACAACATAAAATAAGTAAACAACCACACAGTTTATAAATTAAAGATTTCAATTTGAACTTTTTTTTTTTACTAAAATCAGGCCATTCTTATTTCAGTAAAATACTTTGTAATCAAAACTTTGTGTAGTTCATGGACAATTACACACAGACTCTAGTACTGAGCAACCCAAATTTATTCTGTCCTCATGTCATTTCTCTCTCTCCAGTCAGAAATGTTCACTACTGCGGCTGCTTCAAGTTGCCCAGAACCACCGTCGACTCCTTCCCCGTCTTCACCTTTCAACCCAATGCAACAGCTCAGTCCTGCATAGAGACCTGCACTGATAAGGTTTGAAGCCCTCCTCTAACTGCAGAGTAAATCATCAATTTATTGCACACGCTGTGGCTCCCACTAATGTACCAGTGGTGCTCCACTCCCAGGAGACGCCACGCTGGCGTTGAGAGCTCCTTGAAATTTGCTGAATATTTAAGGTTTAATGTGTCTCTAATTAGAAGTAGTCTGTATCCTGCTCTTAGATCTAACCGTAGCAGCTGTGTCTCTCTCGAAAAGAGAAATAAATTGGAGGAGAAACTGCAGCTCCTATGGTGGTGTTAGTGGTGTAATTAATTCTCACTGTGGCATTTGTTGGTGTGCTTTTTTGTCTTTTTGTGTGTGTGTGTCTGTCTGTGCCTTTGCGTCTTCACCTTCTATGCAGTATTTGTCCATGTGATTTGACATTGAATATCTTGACCTTTAGTTAGTGGAAAAAGACTGCAAAAACAGATGTAGACCATTTAAACTTAAGTGAATAAAACCATCAGTTGTGGGCAGAACTGAATTTAGAGATGAGGTGGAATAAAGGATATTTGTTTTTTGCAGGAGCTTCCTCTGGCTGGCTTCAGAAAACAACACTGTTTCTGCACACCGATGTCACCGGTGTTCAATCTTGATGCTGCTCTGAACCACACCAGTAACTCCACACACACAGCACCTGCTGACCATGACCACTACCAGGTGTATCACACACCTGTGCTTGGTAAGATATCTGCAGGTACACAGATTTAGTGTTGAGTTGTGCGTTTATTTCACAACGGGTAATCCCTCGACTGACGGTAGGGTTTGGTTCCTAACGGTGACGTATCAGATTTTTTAGTTGGTTTATTCACATTCTGTTCTGCTTTGTCATTAATTTTAAAGCATCACACACACTTAAGGACATAGTCTGGTGCTAAAATGCCATTAAATTCAACGCTTTCCGTTCACTGTCTGTGAACACAGTGACTTTCTGAAGGAAAGAGCAGTTAGTGCATGACTGAGGATCAAACCGCCTCAAACAGAAGGTTCATCTCAGCCTTGGATCAGACCCTGTATCCCCCAGTCTTATCCCCTGATCCTTTTCTTTTGTTCTGTATTACCTTTGTCCGCACATTATTCCGATCATGCGTAGACCTATAACTGACACCAACTAGAACAACCTCTCTCACTCTAGATTCCAGGTGCAAGGAGAGGATGTTCCTGCCCCAGAGATCCAGCTCCCTGGTGGCTCTTTCCAGTTTTCCTGGTGCAGGAAACACCTGGGTGCGACACCTCATCGAGCTCGTGAGCGGATACTACACTGGCAGCTTCTACTTCGATGGCACACTGTACAACAGAGGTGGGCCTCTAGTGGTTCTGGGAGTCACACCACCTGACCCACCAGAAAACTTCACTCCTTTATTTTACACAAATCCAATGTTTCCTCTACATTTATTTTAATGTGAAGGTGGAACCATAAATGTGTTATGCTTTTTCTCTAAGGTAAACTTGCTAAGCTCACTAAGCCCAAAAAAAAAAGATCCTTCTTACGCTTGCCAACTGTAGAAAAAGATTGTTTGTAAACAAAAAGACACCAGTAAAATGCTCTTTTCTCTATATTAAACTTGTTTTTTTCATTAATAATCATTTATGTAATTATAGGAACTCACATTCAGTGTCTAAGTATAAATAAATTATACGTGCAAGCCTCAGCTGATGTGAAAACGCTCCACATGCTTCAGCAGTAATTTATCCAACCGTCTGGTTGCAAACTACGTCTGCAGAGAGCTTTCAGGTGCAGGAAGCATTAAAGCGAATAATTCATAAAATAAAACACAGTGGAGGCATGTGAGTGGATGCTGTGTGTAAAATACACTAAGTGATTGGTGCTTCTCTTAATGGAACTGTAATTTTCTGTAATTGTTATCATGCTCTATTGAAGAAGACCTGGAAAATCAATGGGCAGCACAAACGGTGGAGGTCGATGACGTTACATTTTCAATCAAAACTACCCTCGTTTACTTGGACACTTGTAGAACTAATGGCAGAATCTCTGGTCCATTTCAGCACTTTATGGTTTTTATACCACAGAAGCAATGAAGAAGAAGCAATGATAAAGCTTTTGTACACTACAGGCTGAAATTTGAACTATACATTTTAGTTATTATGAGCTTGTTCTGATTTATATTTAATTGTTGTCTTAAACTGCTTTTAAGGTTTTGCTTAATTTGTAATCATCCGTCTTTAATCAATGTTTACTCTTCTATGTGCTCGGCACGATGATTCACTGCAACCAAGCGTCTGAGAGAGTTCCTGCACTGCTGATGATAATCTATTCATTTATTCATTGGTGTCAGGCTTCAAAGGTGAGAAGGATTATTGGAAGGGCGTCCGCAGCATCTGCGTGAAGACCCACGAGAGTGGTCAGAAAGAGATCGAGATGTTCGACGCTGCCATCCTGCTGATTCGAAACCCTTACCGCTCCCTGATGGCTGAGTTTAACCGCAAATGTGCCGGACATTTGGGACACGCCACAGATACACAGTGGCAAAGCAAAGGTAATGGCATACAAGAATAGAAGACTGGAGTCTTTCTCTCACTGTAGTCAGTGTCTATTGGACAGATGTACAAGAAAAAGTTTCCATGTATCATGGCAACCACTACTACTACTACTACCATAATAAACTGACTATTTTATATATGAAATGTAAAAAAAGACAACCACTTCACGTTCTGTCTTTCTAAATACACAATGTTTCCCACCACATAGCAATAAAAAAAAGAAACAGTGTTTTACTTCTAAAAAATAAATACCACTGTCATTTTTTGTATGCACTGCTGCGATTGTTTGTGATAAATCTAAGGAAAATCATCACCTATAGTTGAACCAAATGTCCTTTATCCACAAATCCATCCTCAATCAATCCTGACTCCAACATTTGTTTCTCTACTCTTTTAAACTAGACTGGCCAGAATTTGTTTCCAGCTACGCCCCCTGGTGGACATCCCATGCTCTGAGCTGGTTGAAGTTTGGCCGCAACTTGCTGGTAGTTCACTATGAAGAGCTGCAGAAATCTCTCGTCCATCAGCTCCGTGTCATCACAGCTTTTCTAAACATCACCATGACTGAAGAAAGACTGCTCTGTGCCCAGACCAACCAGCATGGGCACTTTAAACGTTCAGGGGCTCAGAGACCGTCCTTTGACCCCTTCACCCCTGACATGAAACAGATGATAGATTCCTTCATCCACACTGTTGACCAGGCACTGCTGGACAGAAACTTTAGTGGACTTCCACAGGAATACCTTCCTAGATGATGAGCTCAGAAGGTCACAGGTCTCAGCTCTTCACTGAGCGCTCGACGGGGAGCAGACACACACAGGCCGACCAAAGTGGACCACAACAGCTGTTTTAACTCATATGTGCTCTCTCTCATGGAGACAGAGCAAAGATCACAGGAGAAAAACATGAACATTCACAGTGGGCATGAAAGCAGCAGAGATGGGGGACTTGCCCCTCAGCAGGTCATCTATGACAAATACTCAGAGAGAAGATTTGTATGACTGCTATGTTGGGATTATCCAGTGAAGTGCCTGTCTGCACAAATATGAGCTCAAATACTGGGTGGACTTATTTTTGTTAAACGGGGGTCTTTTGTGAAACTTTACAAATTGACTTTACTTCATATACAGTAGGTTTCTGGCAGACAACCGTGTTAATAAAATTAAACTAATAAAAATGTTCGACACTGGGGCTTCTCTTTTGATTTAATTTGAGAGTTTTCATTTTACTGGTTGATACTTCTGCTGATCTCAGTGGATCAAATCCTTGAAGTTGCAGCTAACTACATTTGGTTAACACAATTGGTTTTGTATTGATTTAATTTAGCACATTCAAATCAAATTGTTCTAAGTAGATGGGGTACAATCCTCCTTTGGAATATTTCTATATAGTGTGCATATACTGAGAATAAAAACATGAAACTTCAGTGGTTTTACAAGGATAACAGGAATGTATCCCAGTTTATCCCAGTTCAAACCCAGAAAATTGGATCATCATAGACCATGTGAGATGTTAGATAACGTTGACGTGGTTCTGACTCAGACCCAGCTGAACACTGTTCTCCCTGATCAGTTTTCCCCTAATCTTGGCTGGAGTAGAGTGCCATCTGGTGGTTCAAGTTGCACACACTGAGGAAGAACTGCTTCCAGAGATACAACGAAATATATACATACACGTACACATAGACATATGCATATATATATATATATATATATATATATATATATATTTAGAGAAATATATAAATATATATATATTTATGCCCATAAAATCATGGCATTTGGCATTATTATTATTGTTGTTTTGGCATGAGCTGACATTTTGTATCTTAACTGACAGCATCATTTGGAGGATGAGAGAGGCTGAACGGAGAAATGAATAAAAAAATTAAAACATCATTACCTGACTCTAGTTCAGCTCCAAGAATATATATTTAAATATACCTAATACAAATTAGCTCTTTTTGTTCACTCTACTGCTTTTATCTGTATCACTTTCATCTATTCACCAAACAAATCTCTTTTAAAAGCAGGGCTGCAGTGCACTGGTCAGAACAACAGATCATGGATCAGGGATCACACAGCTAATTTACTGTCCTCCCAGAAGGCAGTGTGATGTGGGAACACCTCATATTTACATTTAATTCATAAAGTGATTCATTTTTAATAAATGCAGGAGAATACCTAACACCTAAACAAATTCACATTCCATTCAAAGGTATCATCGCAGCAACAAATACCCTAAGGTACAGGAGGTAAAAGCCTACAAGACTCAGCAGTCAATATCAGGACCTTTGTCTTTCATTCTGTATTTGCTCAATTTAAATATAATAATGGTTTTATAATGGTCTCTTGCAAAGTAAAGCACAAAGTGTCAAGTTATTTCTATCCCTGCTTTCTGTGAGCAAAGAGTGTCATTTTCATGATTTGTTCTATCTATCTGTCTGTCTGTCTGTCTGTCTGTCTATCGCTAACTCAATGGTATTATCAGTAAGTACAGTGAGGTGTAAGGGAGATAAACATTACTATAGTAGTAATTCCCTAATTTGACGTTAATGGTATCACATAATTTTTGTGGTTAAAGCTCATCCTGTCAGATTGGACAGGCAGACAGTGTGTACTGACTGTACTGTGTGCTGGACAGACAACACGGGTGTTCAGTGGGGGCTGACTGACAGGATTACGGTAAAATGACTCTGATTGAATAATCAGGGAAGCAGGATTCAGCTGTTAACACTGCACTGAATCCCATCTATTCTATCTCTGTTTAGACATCAGACCTGAACTTGCATGCTCTAACGCGGAATGAGATGACAGATTTATACAATTGTTTACAGGCTTTCTACTATTGAGTTAAAATTTTAAAAAACGAAATAAAGAAATAAAGAATGATGTAATTAGCAGATAATACTGCAGAGGACTACTTCTTTCTCAGACAGAAATCTATTATGCTTCACATAATAGGCCCTGCACTTATGGTGAAAGTCAAGACCACAAATGTCAATACGGTTGAAAAGGAGGCTTAAAAAAAGTGAGTCTTACTATATAGTCTGGGAGCCAACAAGCTTATAATAAGACCTAAACCCAATATACTGCAATATTTAATTAGACAGCTGAGTAGTACTAAAGGTGACATTTAATACGCTAATTATATACAAATAAATATTTTCCTTGATGTGAAAATAAAACATTTTGTACACAGTTGCAACTCACAGGTGGCGCCATTAGGGATAAGGTGGTTCATCTGGGAATTGAATCCAGGACTCTCTGCTTGCAAGGCAGGCACACCAATCACTGTGGGTTCACTACACTGCAATCATAAAAAAAACAAATAAAAAACATTTGCAAATCGTGCGTTCAAACTTGACTGTGGATTAGTAGCGAAATTAGCCAGAAAATTTGAAAAAAAAAAGTATTCACATGGTTTTATTCTTGGCAACAGTACTGTGAGATTAAAATGTGGCATCAAGTCATTCCATATTGTATCAAAGTATATAGTTTTTAAAACCTTTAAAAACAGATAAAGATTTTTGAGAGAGACTTTTTCATCTCATGGAGTAACAACAAGTGTTCGTTGTAGTAAAGCTTTTCCTATGCTTGTTTTGATTGCACCTGGTGGCAATTGCAAAAATGCTAATGTAAAATAGATTCTTGTCAAAACACAAATGACAGGAATTCAGTAGTTATTTCAGTAGTACTTGAAGTTTTAGACATACTGTAAAAGTCTAAAATATTCAGTAAAATTTGGTTTTGTTTTTAGCTTTACTGAGACTTTTCAAAACGTTGCAACATTTGATGAAAAACCCAATTTATCCCGTGTGGAATTTTACAAAAAGACTAAGAATTTAACATCTTTCAACCTGAACCACCTTCCATTTATTTCCTAATCCTTTTCTATCAGCAGGGCCGTGATATTCCATTAAAACCATGAGCACCAAGTGCAGCCTTCTGCAAGTTCCTAAACTTTAAGTGAGAATAAAAACAGAGGATTCAGCGAACAGGTTCCTCTCCTGATGGAAAAAAAAAACTTTCCAGGATGAGTTCAAAAACTACTTAGAGTTCAGATTATACCTAAAGGTTTCTCTTTGATAGCACTTATAGGAAGAGCTGGCTCACGTCCCCTGAGACCTGTGGATCTCATGCATCATGGAAAGTCCCCTCAGGGCGAAAGAAGGTCCCCGGGTTCAGGCAGGCCCAGGGGACTTCCCATGATGCATCGACTGCCTCCTCTTCCTCTACACCTGTATACATTCACATTCCTATAAACACGCTCTTTTGTGTTTCTCTACTTTTTTCTCTTACTTTCTGACATCACTTTAATTTCAAGTGTTACATTCCTGCCTCTGGCAAAAACAAGACTTTTTGTTGTAGAATATTATTAAACAATAAATGCAAATGAATGAGTATTTTTATTTAATAATACAGCAAATAAGTAAAGCATTAAAATTGTAGTTTTTATATTGAATAAAAACAATGTGTGGAAAAGGTGAATAGAAAAAAAACTTAGATAAATATTTAGGGAAACTTAACTTGTGATATATGGGTTTCATATTGTTAAAAAATAATATACATTTTAATTACCTTGCTTATTAATTGCCATATGTATGTCAAGCATACTTAAGGCATTATTTAAATGTTTTGTAAGGGGCCCAAACCATCTGCACACGAGGAGTTCCTGTTTCATCAAACTGACGTTTTGAGGACAGTTCAGACAGAGTCTCCATGTGACTGGATTACAGAGAGGGATTTAAACATCACTTCTGAATGTGGTGTACGACCCATCCCTGACAGTGCACTAAAGCTGCAGCAGGGCCAGCCTATGGGGCTGCTAACTGCTAGGTGCCACTGGGTCAGAGCATCACAATCTTTTTCTTTTAACTCTGTCTTCAAAGCTCTGAATCTTAATCAACAACAGCAGCTGACAGAACCAGGCACTAAAACAACAACAATCATAATAATAGCTCTGTCCCAATCTTCAGTTGCTGACTGGATCTTTGGTGTTGCAGCTTGAAGTAACATTTCATGGCTTTAAACAGAGCACTTCACAATGACATTTTTGAATGGTCCTTGAGCTCTAGACTCTTGTCTGAGCCTCTGGGCCTTCACCTTGGTTTAGCTGAAGCTCTCAGCTTGTGGCAGTAACATGAAGGGCAGAGGTGCTCACACGTTTTTGCCCAAGATAAAGTGAACTACATAGATTAAATCTATATTTACTCATATAAACTGAACATACATTTATGAATACATTATGTATTGTGCAAATGATTGATTAAATGCATATAGCTTTAAGGTCAATATGATAGTATATGGTAACTATGGTCACTACTACACAATATGCAATATTATGCTATATATATATATATATATATATACACACACACATACATATATGAATAGCATATAATACTATACTATATACATCTATACAAATCATACCAAAGAGAAATCAAAGAAATCACATTAAAGAAAGAAAAAAACCTTGCTAAATATAGTGTATATAGCTGAAAGCAACAGCCCTAGAGTCATATATTTAAAATATTAAAGGCTAGTTAAAGGATGATTGCCAGTTTGACTAAGAGACTGTGAAACTCCATAGACATTTCCCACAGTCTCATTGCTGTGCTGTCGTCAAGGAAACTAGTTATAAAAGTATGAAAAATCCCTGCAGTCTTGAAGTAATAATCTGTCTAAATGAAAACAGTGATGCAACATTGCACTTCTAATTCCTGCACAGAGAACCAACACAGTGTAGAGTGTCATCACCTCAGCATCTCACCTGCAGGGCAGGTACACTATAACTCTATAGGAGGTGACAGCTAAAGTAATTAGGCGTGTCAATATGGCTGGCAATCTGCCCCAGCTAAAATGTAACTGAAGGTAACATCAATTGGTTGTTCCTGGCACTCGCACGTCTTCTGGAACACTCTTGGAATCTATACATCGCATTGACCTTCACTGAAACAAGCAACACCTTTCATTGTTTGACTTCTAACCTGTGTATCATCACATGCCAGCTGAGCAATACATAATTAATTATCTGGCCTTCTGGCCTTCGTGTTATCATAACATTTAAATACGATAAGGTGGAGAACATAGACAAAAAAAACAGTAAAGAAAAAACAGTAAAAACAGTAAAACAGAAAGTTTTAATACTATAGCAAAATTAAAAAGAAAAAAAATGACAGTTTTCTATATGAAATATTCTTTGTATATCATCCACCAGCCAACAGCACTGAGGCACACTGAGTGTGGCATCATCCCTATATAACTATAATCCACTAGAGGGCAGACTACATGTAACAGATCATATACAATAGGTTTCAAAGGAAATAATTGATCATGTTGATAAGCTATTGGTCTCTGAATGTTGTTAAGTAACTACTGAATATTTATTTGATTTGATACGTATCCTAACATTGATGTGACTAGAGTGGTTTTCTCTTCTGCTAATGGCAGTCAAACAGAGATGTGTCCCTGCTACAGAACAAGCAGGGTTCTGAGAATACAATCATCTGTCATTAGACTGTCATTAACATACAGACTAGTTGAAGGTTTTAGTCCTGCTCCCTATAGAAAGATAATGCACCCTGGGCAAAATAATCAGACACCTATGGAGCTACTCCTCAGCCACAACGTGAGTGCCTTTGGACACAGTCGCTCAGTACTTCACTGCAGATGGAACGCAGATGAAATGTAAAAAGATGTTTGCTTTAAACGTATGTATAGAGCACAGACGGAACAGAAATGAAGCCCCGTTTGCTCTGTAGGATTGGAAAACTGCTTAAAGAGGGCCACATTTTCCCTGGATGTTCAGTGCAGTAAATTGATAGCACTCATGATTCCAGCCGGCATTGCCTATAACATGTGATGCTAAGCGAGGTCTAAAAAAAAAAAAAAAAAAAAAGAAGAATACTTCTGAGTTCCTACATCATCAAAGAATCAAACCCCTGTCAGGCTGAAGCAAAAGATAACGAAAGGAAACGTGGCATTTCATTTGTCTTTAAGAGTTCATGTCCTTTATGACTACTTTTGTGTCTTTTCTGATATATTCACAGTATAGATGTAGTAAGTGAAATATAGTCACCATTTGCACATACTGCAACTAGTAACTCTGTTGCTACTATTAACACAGAGAACAGAGAACCCACGCACATACAGGAAGAACAATTAAACTCCATATGATACAGAAAGATCAACCTGGTGGAAACAGTCAGGATCAACGTTCAAGAGCCACAGCAAAGGTAACCAAAGCAGCCTAATGGTGATAATGTCATCAGTTTTTTATCTGCCAAATGTCATGCAGCACTGTGCTGCGTAATTTCTACAAGGACAGCACATTCTATTCGATTTGTACAATGCTACGTTTCGCAAAACTTTGGAAACTTGTTTCAGCATTGCCATGCAAACTGAGGTGACACCAAAAGAAGTTCTGACAGTACTCAGTGAGGAACACACTCCTGACTGCCAGTGCTTTAATGTCACACAGATGGGTTTTATTTTTATCCAAACAGCCTGACTTGTAACCACCTATTGGAACAGAACAGTAGATTGTTTCAAAAGACCAACATAGCATTACGTACAGTGAGGGATCGGGATTATTGAAATGTTTTTAAAAATTTGCTGCTCACTCCCACGCAGAGAAAGATGTGCTTGTTTGCATCACGGAACAAATTAGTTGTTGATGCAGCAGCAAGTTTAAGTGTACCTTTGAAAATATAAACATGTTTTTGTTTGTGGACAAAGCTGTAATCATGTTCATGTTGTGACATAGTTTGACATACATAGTCAACATGTTTCTAACTACAGATATTGAGCCTAAGGCTGTAACTGAAATATCATTTTGTTTTCTCATTGTCATCACTAACATTACACAAACTGTAATCCATGCATATTATTTCTCTAATCCCGTGAAAAACTGGGAATTGTAGGAAAATTAAAAGTATAACCTATATGCAATATAAATATATGCATATATATGCAATATAAACCTATTTATATAAAAAAATATATATACACATATAAAACCTCTGGAACATGATTATAATAATTTAAATTTTAAATATTATTTAAATGTGTGGGTGTATGCCCTGTTTGATTGACATATGCTCTTTTCAATTTTTTTTATTTGCTATTGTACATCATTCAGAATATTATAATTAGTTTGGAATTACTTTCAATAAATTAGTGAAATGTTCCAGTCTTCTCTGTCGAGCAGCTGAAAATGTTGCCAAAATAGGTGTAAATAAAATTATACAAACTCACTGATGCAAGAACTCTGATAAACATAAAGGATTTTTTTCTCTTTAACAAGGGTAACAGGAAATATTCAACACAGCAGATCCTTAAAGATCCCTAAATTTGATGACTTAATGTAAATATAAATCATCAAAAAGTTAATTATCTGATTATTCAATTTTATATAATAAAAAAAAACACCATTTGCATCCTGCCTAATGGCACCAAGCTCATCCAGAATCATCCGTTATCTGTCTACAGTTAAGTCTGTTATGGTCTGCACTCATAATTTATGACACATCACTGTATGCTTTTAACGGCCTCACAGGGAAATTCATCACTTTCACAGTAACAATGAAATAACGGTGTGATGGATTCTAACGGTCATTCCACAAGGCAGACTGTGACTGACCTGGGTTTATGATGCAAAACAGATACTGTAAACAGATGTCAGTAGATAAATGTTGTGTATACAATATCACAAACTAAAATCAAACCATCACAAAGTACTTTACAACAGTTGGAATTTTATGAAAACAAAATTAAAGCTTTAGGTTTATTGATGCAAATTACAGTACAGACCATAAATAAATAAATCAGCAAGTCTGACATTAGTCTGTGGCCGTCACAAAAGGTTTGTGTAATTAACGTCTTATATGACTTTTATATTTTTGACAAATGAAATAAAAGACTCTTGGGGACTTCATTCTAAAACACCCCTTCTTTTCGTCTGGTTGGTTTTATGCCAAAATTAAGACTAAATAGTTTGGACAGTTTGGACAGAAAGCAGCCAAGAGTTACACTAAATTGATAATGTGGACATTAAATGTGTTTGTGTAGCCTTCACTGTTTAGACAGAGCGATACGAGCAGCTACATTTCAAAGATTAAGTTTAAATTCACTCGGAGCTGAGAGGAAAATAACAACCGTTCATTCAATTCGTTTTCGTATTTTGTTTGTTTGTTTGTTTTACTCACCAGTTAAGCAGCGAAGCTCAATTTGTTTGTTGACCAAAGAACACTGCAGTCATAAAGTAAAGTAACTCTTCCACAAATGTTTGTTAGGTTAGCATGCTGATACAACCAGTTAGTATACTGTCTGACCACAGGGTGGCGTTGTGCTCAGAGAGTCTTTCATAAACTAGAGAAAAGAAGAAGAGAAAACAAATACAAAAAGAATACGAATACAAAAAAACAGAAAAAGAGAATTCATTCATTTCAAACAATTTCCTTCTGGGCTTCGCTTATTTGTTGTTTCTCTATATTTAAAATGCATATTTCTGTATAAAATAGTTACAACTAATATAATCTATCTGAAAAGACAACTGGCCAGTGAGTAACCCGAATGAGTAATACTAACCAGCCTGGGACTCCCCTAGTTAGTGTCCGCCCCATGTTGTGGACTGAAAACAGAAATTCCCACGCAAGATGGCGCCACAGCACCTACACTGGCGCCTTCAGGACAGTGTGGGCCTGCCGAAAGGCCAGAGCTGAGGATGCTGCTGTGGGCTGACTCACTGTTGTTATCAGCAGTAGCCTAGAATCATGTGGACAAGACACTGAAGCTGGAGTGAAAACGTGTGTTTAATGATCACAGCCACCGGTCCAGAGATGTCAGTCAGGATTTCCATCCACCATCTACTCAGTCATGATACACTGCAGGGCTTCCAGCCTCAGCAGAAACACCGCAGCTATGTCTTGTTCGTTCTAGCTGCTAATTCTGACACCAGTCTGTTCTCCTCTCTCCCTCACATCATTAAGCTGGAGCTGCAGTGGTTGCATCTGCGGCTTCTGTGCTGATGGATGTTTCGGGGCTTGTCTGATAGGCCTCAGTAGCAGCAGCCACTGTGTGTGTGTGTGTGTGTGTGTGTGTGCGTGTGTTCTTCCTGCCTTGTGTGCAGGCACCACTGAGCCTGTGAGGGACGGAGACATCTGTATGTTCAGCTTCTCTACTCCTGCAATGCACTGCTTAGTGTTGGTGATAGTACATGAGAAAATGTACACTTGCCTGAGTGTGTGGCAAGCCGTGGATGTCATCATTGTTAAGAAGTAAACTCTGTGTATGTGTGTGTGTGTGTGTCTGTGTAAAACTTGAAATGCTGGAACAAATTGCATCATGTCATATTGGTCTTGGGAGGAAGGATAACATGAGTCTCCTGTCACCAGTGCATTGAAATATTCATAATAGTATGTAAAATGTATAAACATTTGAAAGAGAGAAAAAAGGGAGGCATTAAAAATGGAACATGATCTGATTTGGAAACAAACATCTAATATACATAAAATATATCGGACTAATTGGTGGAAAAAAATTCTGCCAATTGCTGCTGCATGGATCTGGAATCAGATGGAAACATTCATGACTACATTAACTAAAATCATTTGACATGCAAATGGAAACAAATTTAAAATACAAAATGTCAACATTTACCGCATCAATCAGTCTCATGTGAATCTTTAGCAGAATGAACTGATGACTAAAGTTCTTGCTGTTTCCCCAAAGAGCATGCCGAAAATAAAATATTAATTCTTTAATATTAAATATTCTTCCAGTAGGTGGCAGCATATTGCTATATAAAAACTTGGCACCCTTGAGGAAGATTTTCATGTCCTTCTTCAATTCCTGCAAGTATATCAGTGTTGTGTTCAACTAAACAGGCCCAGGTTTCAAATAGAGTGAGTCAGTTGTGAGTATATTGAAACCTGGAGATCATTATATACTGTATGTCATTATACATATATTTTGTGACCTTGCTTGTGGTGGTGCACCATGGAATTTGTCTAAACTAAAATATGTATATATCCAGTTTTGTTGATCTCCATAGACATTCTTTTGGATCAGAAAATTAACTTTCCCTTCATCTGTAAACATTTACATTTTCATGAAACTTTTATTGAAAAACGTTAGTATTAGGTTTCATCTTGGATGGTGCCTTACTAATATCTATTTTTAAATTGCACACTCATGATGCATTGTATTTTTTAAATATGTTGTCAGTATTTTTATTTCATATTAATATAATTATTAATACTGTTATATCTGATTAATCCATATCAATGATGATAGCTGAAATCCTATTTCACCCGTTGTCTCCAGTGTTTTTATTTTGTGTAGCACTTCGCTAGGACACCGTTTTAATGGATGGTATTGTGTAAATAAATAACTGACTCTTGAAAACCTGCAAAACCTAAAAATATAGTTGAGGTAAATGTGAGCCAGCTGTCACACTGGGAGCTGCTCCTGGTAACTGAAGACTCTAGTTTGTTATTTATTTTGTGTTTATTATAACAGTACACAGATGTTATTTGATACTGAGGTAGTAAGAGCTGCTGAAAATGTACACCATGGAGTTCAGTCATTCAGGGCTATTTTGTGGAAAGGATTTTATTTTCTGCCTTAGAACTGTGTCTGTGGGGGGAAAGGCTTGAACTGGAATGAACTGAATCAGGAAGCAAGAACAGCACCGAGCAGAAACATTAAAAGTATTTAGCATTTTACAGCAGAACTTTTGCAGGGTTGACAGCATCGACTGTGTTTATCACAGTGATGTCGTCCACCACCGCTGTTCATGAGACGTTTTACACACGGAATTAGAAACGGGACAAATTCCATAATTGCACTGGAGGGAAAGTCAGTTGTTTACCACAGCCGTGTGGATTTCCAAAAACTGAACAAGTATTTTAATGATGCAGTGTTGAAGCTATTCATCTGTCTAAGGCCTGTACATGGCTGGACTCACTGGCTTTATTCAAAATATGCAGGTTTTTTCTATATATTAAAATATGTTTCAAATATTGCATAAAAAGCAACTTATCTTCTGTAATATGTTCATGATATTAAATATTGAATGATAAAATTAATTTGGATTGTATAGGTCAGTGATCCTCAACTAGCGGCCCACGGGCTAAATCCAGCCCACCAGAACATCCAATCCGGCCTGTGACTGGATTGCAAAAAATGATGTTAGACCAAAATGTGATTTTAATTTTAATTTTTTTTTTAGTGTCCAGCCTTTTAGGTGTCCGTTCAGAAAAATTACTGTCCTTAACAAACAAATATTGTCTGTGACCCTTGATAAAGGTCATTTTTAAAATCAGGTTTATGGTTTTAAAAGCAGCGGTTCTTACTTAATAGGTCACAACCCCAATATTTTAAATTAGCCAAAAAGGGGACTAAAGGTGTAACATTTTATATAGGTTAATTATTATTTATTCTGCTCAGATATCTGCTACACAGTCCAACACTGTGATCCACCAAGTGCTTCAGTTTAAGGTGCATTTGTTTTTTTCCTCGTTCATTTTACCAGAGGCTTTTGTTTTTAGCTGATTTTGACATGTACAAGCATGAAGTTGACTTTCATTGTTATAAATCAACCGTACCTTTGTACTGTGAAAAGGTTGGGCCTCAAAGAGCTCCAGTGTACAGTTTTTAAACTGTGGTTAAATCCCAAACTTGTGTGTTAGAGGAAGTTCAAAGACAAAGACTCGAGTTCATGTTTAATGTCCTCTGATCAGGTGATCAGACAGATCGCAGCCGTCTGTAGATGAGAGGTCATGACTGTGGGGCTCATGTTTCCCAAACTAGACAAACAGAAAAGTCATCAGCTGCTGACAAATCCTCTGACTCATATTCTTATTTCTTTTAATGTTAAAGATAATGACTGAGGTGATGACGAGTTCCAAGAAGCTGTAACACGGTTTCTGGTGAAACCAGCGTTTGAGAAACCAAAAATTACTCCTTGTAACTCTGCTGTCACATCTGAATTGTACATCTGATTATAAGGGTATATAGAACATTTTAAAATTAAATATTAAATTACCAAAACTGTGTTCGACCAAAATGTTTTTCCTAATACAACAATTATAATAATAATAATAATAAATTATAATAATAAAATACTACTAATAATAATAATACTTAATAATAATAATAATAATATCACTGCACATAATATCACATTGATTTGATCCTTTTCCTGTACAGTTGCTTTGAAGATAATCTCAAGTTGACTAATTCTCTCCCAAATTACCTTAAATAACCTACATTGAAATATTATCAGAAAACAACTATGCAAAAATCCTGTAATATTCTAAATACTTTCCCATTCATTAACACACTTTAATTTGTTACCACCAGTATGTGGGGGACTTCGCCACCCCCACCTGACGTGTGTGCGTGTGCAAATGTGTTTGATTCCGCTGCGATGATCACAGATCTGACGCAGGCTGTGTCACCGAGGCTGTGATAACAGACGAGTGGATGTTGGAAAGTGTGACAGCAGCTGTTTGAACATCCTGCCTCTGAAACACAGTCAGTGTCACAGTGTGTGTCTGTGTTTCTGAAGCTCAGAGAGATGACTTTCCTGCTTCGTGGACACAACTGTTACAGCAGACAGAGATGCTGAGCTGCATCACCTCCACTCTCTGCAGTCATTCATTCATGTGTAAAGACTAATATTTCTATAATTTTATAATAATTTTAATATTTTATGACACTTCTTAGAATAAAAAAAATCCAAATATTAAAATGTTAGCTCTGTTTGTAAAGTTAAGGCAAATTCTTCAGAAATGTATACCTTATGATTTCTAACCAATGACTCTTAATCATCAATAGGTTCTGTGTAGGTATCTGTTAATCGATTAGGAAACAGCCAGATCATTAACTTTGACAAAGAATGTGTTTTAGGTTTTAACACCAAGAGTTTACAGTTCCCTGATGTGCCATGAAACACACCGACATCCAGGGCAACTGTAGAATTATATACAAAATATGAAACAAGGCACTGACTGGTCTGTCCACCCCCCTGACACAGATGTCTGTGGTCACTCCCTCAGACACTACAGTCCTCAGATACAGCTGTATCTCCCTCGCACGTATGAATCTGCAGTGACGTTTAAAGTTTAGGAGCAACAAACCTCTGGAAATGGTCCCAGGCAGAGATGTGATCCCCTGGTCTGGAAATATTTACAAAATAGCCAAACAATTATTTTACACATTTTCCTGTATGTAGTGAAATTTACTATCCTTACACCTCAGATATTTTCTTATGACTAGTTGCTTTAATTCACTGCGCTGACGTCATAATTTCCCCCGAGACTGCAGCAAAAATTCTCATTTCTTTAGTGAAACTACTGAATTCTGACTCGGCAGAAAGGCCCGTGATTTATGGTTTAGTGCGGAACAATACCTAAATAAATAAATAATGGACGGTATGGTAATCGTTACGGCGACACTCATCTGATGCCTGAAGAAAGAGAGAAGCTAAAACAGTTGATGCTAATCTAAAGTGTCTGTGCAGAATGTCTGACAACAGCTCTGTAACGCAATTAGTCACGGCTAACCAGAAGAGCATGTAATCCACTTACTGCAGCTTTTGTGATT